GATGTCAGGGCGAATGCGCTTCAAGGCCTGGGGCCCAATGACGCTCGATTCCTGCATTTCGGATTCAAGGTTCTTTTGTTTTTGACACCTTTTTTCCGTCTGCACTGTGGGGTCGGCCGACAGAGAGCCCACATAGGGCAGGTTTGGATTGGACCCGTTCGGTCCCTGTGCTTGCATAGTCACGGATTCAAGGTTCAGGGATCAGGGTCCAAACACTGTCCAAACCATAACCTGTGTCTCTCCCAAGTTGTGATTTCTGCGATGGAGACCGCATGGGGCGGACGTAGGCCACACTACAAGGCAGGCTATGTTCACCACCAAAGCAATCCATAGCACTGCAAACAATAAGTTGAGCCCAACATGCCAACAGGATGCTTGAAAATCGCGCTGTCAAAAGCTCTTCGTAAGGCTTTTCACGCCAAGTTAGGTATACCATCACGACAGCAGTAGCTTCAAATGTCAAAGCAGCATGATCCCTCTTATCATATTATCCTGCTGCGGCACCGGGCCTACAATGACTCCTGACAGACAGCCTCCTGAACTCCGAACAACTGAAGATAGGTTACATACTTCTTCTACCAGTACCTATACGATAACCCACCGCACGCACACAAACTCGACTCACACAGCCATGAAAGATGCAGCAAGTGCTCTATGCTCTACTCTCTGCGTCTGTGCATCTGAGTTCCTAAACCCTAAACCCTAAACCGGGAAGCTTCAAAACAAAGGGGTCCCCGGCTTGATGCTGCCCAAACACAAAGCCTGCAGGGTCGGCAGCCAAGCATCCTCTTCGGCTTCGCCTGGAGATGGGTTATGGCAGAGAAACCGATACTGGTTGGGTTTTCGACTGCTTTTATGATGAAATGCAGGGCAGGGCCTATACAAGATACCGGTGTGTCATGTTGGGACACCATAAACCTGTGCCGAGGAACTTACCATAACAACTGCCCGACTGCGAGTCAGACTACGTACAGCGAACCCGAGCCACAACATCCGCAGTAACTTATTACCAATAATCAACAAGGTTCGGGTGCAGGCAGAAAGAACTGTAATGGGACAAGCCCCGGAAGCCTGAATGAGACCTCGAAGCTCTAACCTCCAGCGAAAATCGGTCTACGACTCGACTGCAAATTCCCATGTGGCACGGGGTCAAGCGAAACCCATGCGATGAAACAACAATCCATAAGACCGCTGTCATTTCTAAGAACCCCTAGCATGCGAAACCGGAGTAACCTTTCCCTCCAGATGCAACATCTGCCTCGCAGGCGGCCAGTTGCGTTGTCACTGCCACCTCGTGCCTTTCCAGTGTTTTCACCGTAGCACGGCAAGCTGCCACATAACCATCATGACAGCCACTGGACAAGCAAGCAATGTCGGAAATACTGCGAAATCGGACTCCAATATGACTGCAAGCAGGATTCTGGCAAGAAGAGCAGCAGCGGGAGAAGTGCCATGAAGCCGACACTTGTCATTACTCACACCCTTTTGCCTGAACCCCAATTTAAGTAACCTGCTGCAGGAGTCAACGTGGGCTTGGGATTTACTCACGGCTGAGTCGATTGCCGAAGAGTAGAACAGCCAAGACGGAGTCAGACTTGAGGCACCCCTTAGTCATTCTTTAGCTGCCTTTGTCATGCTCAAGAGCTTCCCTCTTCCTGGTAAGAGCAAAAAAGGAGCCTGTGGAGCTTCTCCTGGTATCTCCAAGTTCACAGAGTCGCCCAGACCTGGCCTGGAAGTTGTAGTCCTCCAGCGCCCGGCGGCGGGCCGCACGGGTGATGCCCAGAAGTCGCCTATCGGAAAACGTCCGATCTAAGCAGGGCTGAAAGGCTGAAAGTAAGGAGATGATGCGACCTCTGCTCAAAGTAGCTGCCACGACCACATGGGGACTAAAGCACATTGCCTCCCTGCACGAAGCCCGTCAGAAGCGAGGAAGACTAGAATGACTTGAAAGATAAGCGACAGCATCCTCGGACTAGAAGAAACCTAAGCATCTTCTGTAGAGCCTGAAGAAAAGATCCCAAGCTTCAGGGTAAGCTCGGGTCCTCCCAAGTCCGGGGCACCTGTACAAACAAAGAGCCGTGAGCGTGATCAGAAAGGCCATGCCAAAGGCGGCAGTGGAGGTGAGGACCACTTCCTGCAAAGGACGAAACTCGCATCACCCTAGGCCCGAGGCCTAGGAATGCCTAGGAACCTAGAGGTCTCAAGCACCCTCCCTCCCATTCCGATCAACATGGGCTGTTCAGGCTGCATAGACATGCATTCATGTGTGCCCGCACACCAGGCCGCTCGGCAAACAGGCTTAGGATATCTTAGGATCCTGAAGAACCGCCGGATACTGATGATTGGTGAGGTCATGAAGATGAGTGGAAGATCACACAAACTAGCAGCACTTCAGCAACAGTTTCAGCAAAAGCATCCCTCTCACCCACCCCACCAAGCCCCGGCGCACCACAGAATTATATGAACGACCTGGATCGAAACAGCAAACGCGAGAGGAACTCAACTGCCGACCTAGGAAATAGAATAGTGCGAAAACACCGTAGAAACGATGTCCAACACCTAGTTACTACGTGGTTATTATTACCACCACCACTACTACTACTACTACTACTACTACTTCTACTACTACTACTACTACTACTACGACTACTACTACTACTACTACTGCTGCTACTACTGCTACTTCTACTGCTACTACTACTACTACTACTACTGCTACTACTACTACTACTACTCCTCCTACTGCTGCTGCTACTGCTACTGCTACTACCACCATCACCACTGCCAGCTACAACGCAGAACAGTGGCAACATCAACAATTGTTAGAGTCATCATAAGATAACAACAACAATAACAACAACAACAACGACAACAACAACAACAACATGAACATGGCACAGGCTCTACGAACAATCGGAGGTCTGCAAACAGAACAGGCCTTTGATGCTGTTTCTGCTTCAGCTCTAATTGGCGCCCTACTGCCTTAATGGACTATGACCACGACTTTGACAATAAAAAGAAGCTGCCTCGAGCACGTGCTCAGGCGGGGGGATGCCGGAGACCAAGAAGAACCTCGAGGCTTGAGACTTTAAGGGTCGATTTAGGGCTTGAGGGTGAGGGAGGTTGAGGGTTTAGGAGCTATACCGCAACTTGGTACTGGTGTGGAACTACGTCTGGTAGAACGGCTTCAAATTGGGTGCCATCAGGGCGGCCGAAGTCTTGATGAAAGTCCCTCAATGTCAAATGCTTAGCTCCTGCTGGGGATTTGCGACATTCAATCTCCATCCGCCTTAGAGTGTTTGACAGCTCTTTTGGGGAGAAGCAAATGGCACACTTACATACTCCATATATGAAGTTGTTGTGTTTGGCCTCATATTTCCCTTATGGGAACCCTTCAAGGATCCTTTCCAGGAGTCCTGGGATGGGGCCCCGGTTCCCGCGCCTCATCAACGCCGAGCTGTCGTGGTCTCCGGCTGGTGTGCAGCTCCCAATCCAAGGGAAGGCTGAGGCCTGGGCTAGGGTATTTTTTTTAGGTTTAGGGTTTCGGTCTTTTGCTGTTCAGGGCCCTTTTCAATTTTCCATCCGCCTAGGCTAGCGTGAAGAACTCCCAGGTTTTACACTCTCACAACTCGGCCAAGCTTTGGAGTTTAGGGTTTTGGGCGTGGGCGTTAAGGTCTTACGGCCCGGGGAGTTGAGGTCTCGTGCTTCTTGCCACCCGCCGAGCTGACTCTCAGTCCATCGTATGGGACTGGGATTTGCGTTTGGGGTTAACATATGCAGTCATATGCACTACCTGTATGTAAAAAAGCAAGGAAACCACACTGTCTGAGACTATCGTGCATCATTCGGCTCTTCGTCCTACATACTTATCAACTCGTCAGGTCTGTGTCTACGTACGGCAATTGTGCTGCGTGTCGGCTCTCCTGTTCCCTTGCTGATTACAGCGAACCCCAAAAAGTTGGAGCATGGGTTTAGGATGATTAGTGCTAGGTTCCCGTATACTTTGCAATTGCCTTTGCTTAAAAAAGGGCATGAGGATTACAATGTTCCAACTTTATAGTGTATACTATATGACCTCTTCGTGAGGAAATGCATTGTGAATTGTCCCTCGTTTTCGCGCACCACAAGCCACACGGCAGAGAAAGTCGTGTGGAGCTTGCCCGACCCAGAGCTAACCTTTATTAGTTCGTTTAAAGACTTCATCTGCACATCATATGGGGTGTCTCAACGGAGCTTCCTTAAGATGAAGATTCTTGCCCTCAGAATTCTTCCAGCTAGGGTATGCATGCAAGAGTCCTTTAATCTTCCCGAACTCGCAAACAGTGAACGCCGAAGACTCAACACCAAAACCTACAGGCCTAAATCAAGCAACGACCCCTGAGTGCGACATGCACTTGAGCATGAGCTGCTCACTTGGGGCTTAGGGATTTCACAGAGCACATAACCTAAGAGGCCCCGAAAGCCCAAATTTAGCATCAACTCTTGCCCACCAAAACACTGAACGAAGCATCATCTGCTGATCACCAAGGGCTTCAGCCCAGGCAGGCTACCGTTAACCCAGAAGTCACCATGAACACCAAAACCTCAGAAACTGAAAAAATAAGAAAACAACCAAAGACCACAGTTTTGTTGAGGCTCGGTTTGGAGTTGAGGGGCCTTGCAAGGCCTTTTTTTAAACCTAGCTTGGTGGGCTTTTAGGCTTTTAGGCTCTTGGGTCTTTGGGGAATTTGGGGCTTTCCTGAAACTCCGGGGCTTCTAAAGCTGGGGCTTTTCGTTGGGATCTTTGGGCTGGCATGATGGTGTTTGTCAATATTCTCATTCTTGTTACGACTGTTTCGAGCACTACTATTGTTAGGGCTATGAAGCATCTCTTCTACTCTGCTATGTTACGTGCTGTAGGGTCGTCGTGTCTCAAGGCTTCAGAACTTCAGCTTCTTCTGCGTGGCTCGGCACGGGACGGTGAGTCTGCTTCGGGCCTTTCGGAGCTCTCAAAGCTGCCGTCATGCAAGCATTTGCCCGACGATGGTGGTTTCCAACCGTGTGTTTGCAAACAGATGAATCTCGTGTATGTGGTGCAGCACGCCATCCTGCTTCAGCCGCTGCATCATGGCCCTCTTGCGCTCACGAAACTCCCGCTTTGAGCGGCAAGTGTTCTTGAAGGTAACAACCGCCAGACACGGGGATTCGAAGAGACTGCGGCGATAGACTTCGTAAAGCAGCTGACAGGCGTTCTCAAGGCCATCGTTCATGTCACAGACAAACAAGGCAAGCTTCTTTCTCTCGTCAGAGGCAGCCTCCTCGAGCTTCGCGATCGCCTCCTCACCACGCATGCGCCAGTGGAGGATGCTCCCAGGAGTCTGTGCGGCTTCAGTTTTCTGGTTCCCGGCGCTCCGACACTCTGCCATGTACTTCAGGTGCTTGGCGTCTTCGACTTGTTCATGATGTCTGAAGAACTGCCGGAAGTCGTCCCGATGTTCCGCATCGATGAGCTCGCGCACCAACGGGTGCATGTAAGCCGCCGGATCGCAGGAAATCACCAGCTTCGTGCCCAACTCTTTGGCAAGGCAGTATGACCTCGCTTAGCATGGTACTAGCATGGCCCTGACCCGATTTCAACCCCCAGTCCCTACCATCAAAAGCCATCCAAGGAGGGGGCCAAGGCACCAACCCCCAGGAGAAGCCCCTACATCCAAAGCCAGATTTCTTCCAGTGAAAGCACGCCGCAGGAGCTTCTCATCGCTTTCTTCATCCCTGGGTCCAAGAACCCAGAGGGCCTATAAATGAAGGGTCTAAGGCTTGTAGGGTCTAGGGCTCTAAGGGCCCATTCTGTGAGACACATGTCGGACTCGCGGTGGTTTGGAGGGATTTCTGCTCTTCGTCCTTGCTCGGTTAGGCTTTCCTGAACATTCATAAACCTCCCGCAGACGACCCTTAACGTTAAACCCTATGGGGGAAAAACCGTAAACGATCAAACATAGCCCAGGAACGACGGATTGTAGCGCTCGCAGATCTCCAGCAGTTTGAAGAAAGCCCCCGAGGGCACGGCCCTTTGGTCCTTTTCGGGTACCATGATACGTGGCATGTCCGTATTCCACCAAAACAAGCCATCCACGTAGACGATGCTGTCGCTCCGCCCTCTTGGCAAGACGAGGTCGTTTCGTTGCAAGTCTGGCGGTGATTTCGTTGCATATGCGCTCTCTACACCAGGTCTTTGCCAAGACCTGAAGGCTATGCCCCAAGGAGAAGCATCGATCGCAGACTGCAGGCTTACTTCTGCCTCGCGTGGAAAGCAGATGAAGTTGCGGGCTCGGCGCACAAACTCCCAAAGCGAGGCTTGCACCTGACAGGCGGCTTGTGGAACTGGTGCAGTACGTGACGATGTACATCTACCGATCATTTACCAGCCTATCTACATATCTGCTTAGCGATCCACACAAGCCTACCTATCTACCTACATATTTGCCTAGCTACCTATCTACCTACCTACCTTCCGACCGACCGACCGACCTACCTACCCATGTCTTTATGCTATACATCATCTTTACATCTTTACATTTTTAACTCTGCTGATGATCGATCAGTCAATCTATCTAGACATCTATCTACCGATCTGTATGTCCTTCTGTCCTATCCTATCCTATCTGTCCGTTTACCTATCCATCCGTCTATCGATCGACTTGCCCATCTAGCTATGTACATGCTGTCAGATTAGTGTATGTAAGTGTTTGATATGTATGTGCAATGTATGCCAGTGTGTGTTTATGTGTATACATATGCGCCGACGGCACGCATATAGTTTGTAATCTATGTGTATATGCATGTTCGTGTGTACTTACATGCCAGCTGCACGTGCATGTGCGCAAACATGTTCTATGTAGATTCTGCCAGCGTAGATCCCCACCAGTGATAAAACACCACGACGACCCACCCATTACGGCCACGACCCCCAGTGACCACAATGAAACCCAGCCGGATACCACCGGAAGACCGCAAGAAAAGCAGGAGACCACCGGCACAACATGCTTCCTCCAGCAAAATGGCGGGATTCACCAGCATGACAGCATGACCACGTTGTAAGGTCCGGCTCGACTGCTCCAGCTAGACGAAGAACAACTACGCCACATACCACACGCCCTAAATATGAGTGCCCCTGACCGAATTAACATGAACGACGAAACACAAAGAGACCCCAAACGCAACTCTTATGAAATTTGTGTCTAGACCCTGAAAGCTAAAACCATGAGATCAAGTGGGCCAGTGGGCCTCTGGTACTGCAGACTTGCCCTGGAAAACTCGAGCAGCCACTGCCTCGGAAAAAACCGGCGACCTACTTCTTTCCCTCAGGGTTCCTTATCAATTAGACTTAACTCAAGTATAATTGAGGGGGTACCAATATTGTTGCTTAGGGTTCCATGTTGAACTAAAAATGGTAGAACATACCCCAGAAGTGCTTAGCTAATGGCGTAATATACCCCAAAGGCATTGATTGTTTGTACGCCTTCTGAGGTTGCAAGTGTTGGTACGCTTGTTAACATAATATACAACAACAACTTAGGATATGTTAGACTATACTACAATATACCAAAATACATTGTAATATGTAAATTAGAAAAATATATTCAGCCGGCTCTTGAAGCACAGAGCAAGTGCCCGAAGCCTCAACTCACGCCCTTCATCCGGAAGCCCCCCGTTGCCGAAGCCTCCATGTACCAAAGCAGTATTTACTTAGGGCTGTAAAGGGGTTCATAGAAGTCTACGCTTAGGGTTCTAAAGTTCTAAAGGGGTTCCTAGAAGTATATTACTTAGGGTCTTAAAGGGGTGCCTACATGTAGATACTTTAGCTACATGGAGCCCGAGGGTTTCATCCAGCTGCCGGGTCCACCATTCCTGGCCCTGCAGCCCCGAAGACGGCTTGCAAGTAGTGCGAACAGCAGTCCTCGGTCTGATCCAGAACGAACTGAACTGTATTCAAACAGACTATCATGGTTACCATAGTAAGAGAAAAATCATGGGGTGTACAGAGATGGCACAGGATATTCTAATGTGTTCTTGTATACCATACTAAGCATGAAATATCTTAAGTTGTTTTAACTATCGAAGAACTAACTCTGTTCTTCGGGTCCCCTACTACATATATAACTAAGCAGAACAGTAACATACCCCGTCCAAAATAGCTCATGGTCAAGACCCTCGTCTAATTACTAAGGCCTGTATCTTGCTCACTCGGGATCTCTCCAGCTCTCAGAATCGACTGTCTGGGCCTTCATAAATATAACACGGTTTTGGGCTCCTTCATCGTAAAATTTAACATAATAAGGAGCCCTAAGGAAGAATATTGGTATCTATTTAGGCCCCTCTGCTACTTCAGGTCTCGTGTTTCGGACCACGATCTGAGTCCTACCAGAACCATCCAGCAACACCACAAGGCCCTAAATTCCAGAACATCGCTTAGACCCGTTGAGTTCAGGAAGTCGTCGTGCCGGGGGCGTGGGATGTTGGACTCTGCTTGAAACCCTGAAACAATATGAAACAATACCAATTAACCGTGATGGCCCTGATGCATTCAATCCCAAGGCAACACCAGGAACCCTGAAACGCATGATCGGTGGAGCCATAAATCGCACAGGTTGGAGTTTCATGAAAGTCTCAAAGAAAGATGGCCCCTTGCATGGACCTTAGACAGAACTAAGACGATCAACTACTTGAGACTCCCTTATGAGCTACATGCCTCGTAGACCCATAATGACAACATGATTAATGAACAACCCTTGGGTTCATACTATACTAGACAAGAAATTTGCAAAAGCAATCCAAAACTAAACCCATATAGTTCTATAACAAACACAACTAAACGCTGATAAACCCCTTACTCCTAAACCCTAGCCGCTCCCTAAAGCAGGGGTTTCTTTAGCAGCTGCCGAGCTGCCACAAGGCTGGGTGCTTTCCGCTCACCACTCGCAAAGTAGATGCGCTGGATGACGGAGTGAAGGTGTACCTTGGTGAGGGTTTTGTTGCGGACGTTTTTCCAGAGATGGCAGAGATGGTGAGAGTTTAGCTTTTATAGACCTAAGTATCGATTTTTTATGGGAGTCACTCTGCTTACTCAGCTGAAAGTCGTCGGGTGTTGTTGAGGGTTCGCTGTTTTAATTGCATGCATGCATGGATGTGTGCGGCTTACCATGCTATGGTTCGCGCCGGGGCAGTAACTCATCAAACAGGTCGCTAGGCTAAAGGCACCAATTGAAATCAGAATTTACACCTCGCAAGGCAGCTTCTCTATGACTTCCCTTGCTCAAAAATCCCCTAAACCCTAAACCCTAACCCTTTTTTTCTCCCAGACCCTAAACCCTAAACCCCTAAACCCTAACCAAACATTGAAGCAACCTGTTCTAACGACGGCCTAGGTGCTGGCATCCGCACCTGAAGCGGCTCAGGGGAGATTCGGGCTCCAACAGGAGACCCTGGAGACTCTGGGGAGCCTAAAACATCGGAACTTGGGCTGCACCGAGGGTGTAATTACTACAGACCATGCAATCGTCGCATCCCCAAAGTCTCATTCCAGATTCTCCTGCATACAACGGGGATTTGGGATAGTGAAAACGTTCAACCCTACATCCTGAGGTCGTGAGCCACAGATTCTAAGCCCCTAAACGCTGAAAGCTCTAAAACCCTAGAAACCCGAACCGTCTCAAAGCCTTAAAAAATCCTGAGTTTTCGCAACATCGCCTCGTAGCCATTTTCGGCCGCTTCACCGGGAGAGCTCAACACCTCGCGACTGGTTGGCGTGTAGAAGTTTCGGATTTAGGGTTTAGGGATTTAGGCTTTACGGGTTCAGGGTTGAAAACTGTTTCGTCTAGAGCTTGTTGGAGTTTACAACGTCGAACTTGGGGGTTAAGGGTTCGACTTACGGTTTACAACGGCCCATGCATGGTTTATAGGTCTTGGGACCGAATGCTTGAGCCGCCAATACGACAGATCTGTTTCAAACGGACAAACAGTGCTTGCCTAGGTCCTCGGCTTGCGAAGAGCCACCGACGGGAGCCGAACTCAAGCCCTCGTCCCTGCCTCCGCCTGCCGCTGCCGGTACAGCTTCGCAAGGCTGGTCAGGACCTTCCCGCAAGTGTCCTTCCAGGTTTTTCGTGCCGAAGAGAGTGCCGGTAGATCTGGGCATTTGGGCCAAAGGATGTCTTCCTCACACTGTAAATGAGTGTAAATATGTATCACAACGCAACTGAAACAGCGATTGTCTTCATCGACGCATACTAACATGCACCAGCACTGCCACCGCCAAATTCCCAAAAAAACATCCACACCTTCGGGCTGTGCCCATCATGCCCTGCAGACTTGAGCACTGCCTCCAGAAGCTCGGAACGAGAGTCCTTCGGAGGATCCAGCAGCTCTTGGCCCCAGGAGAGCAGCACCAAGCGATCCCGGGTGCAGCTCGACAGCACCTGCCCCCCGGATCTTTGCTTCCCAAAGGGTCCTAGGTACTGTTATGGGGGATACTTTCCCAAATCATAATAGTAATTCCTAAAATAGAAACCCTACATTCTACTATATAGGTACTTTGATTTGGGCTTCAGATCGGCACTCAAATGGCGCCTTGAGGTTGCTTGTGGTAATACCGGGGCTACAGTTACAGGGGTTGCCGGGTTCGGGTTGACGGTGTCCTTGTTTAGCTGCGTGAGGTACCGACCTGCCTCGCTGCTTCTTCGGGATACAACACTAATCAGCCTTCTTGAAGGAAAATTGGACTAAACCCTAAACCCTAAACCCTAAGACCATCAATCATCAGCCCCCGAAACCCGAAACGCCCCATGTTCAGGGTTTCGGGGCTCACACTAAACCCGTCCCTCCATGTTCGGGGTTTGGGGAGCCCTAAAGGGCCTCGGAACCCAGGAGGTGAACGCTCTATCCAAATAATGTAGGCGCCTTGATAATCAGGGGTATATAGTCACTAATTGGAGCCCCCAAAATAGTATTGGTAATTACTTATCTAGGCCCCTACATTAAGCCAGATAAGATTTGGAGGATGTCGGGCCATGGGGTAGTGAGGGTGTAGGGGTCATCGCCCAAACTCTCGCCCTCATCTTCACTGTATGCAGTGACCAGCTCGGCGTGGTTAAACACGGGCTTCGCGTATTGAGGGAGCATTTCTCACAGAGGACACGGCTGTGGCCCTTAAAGAGCATGGAAGCTTTAGTTGGGGATCCTTTGCGGGATGATCGCTGTGATGCTGAGCCTAGCAACGACGCTCAGCATCGCCAATTGTCTTGTGCTAGAGCCAAAACGAACTACTTGGTCGTAACTGGACTGCCCAAGATCGCAAAGCACCTGTCCATCCAAGTATGCCGCCAAGCGTTCAGCTTGAGGAAAATGGCACTGTAGAAATGCTCGGGGCTGGGAGCGTCTCCGAGACTCCTGCTTGAGTTGACAGCTTGGGCTTTGGGCTTTTTTGGTGCAAATTTCGCCCGACGGCTGCAACCCTTCCCAACAGCGAGCTCCCCGAAAAACACCAATATCCTATGTCACCCCTTCGTGGCTCCTGCTTGGCAACAAGGATCTGGCGGAGCAAAGCCTCGGAGTGATCTGCATCAGCCTCCTCCGTCTCCGCTTGTACCAGGCTTCGCAAGAAATCCAACTCTTCGTCCGTCGTTCCAAGCTGAGTGCACAAGGGCTCATCCTCATCAGAGACATGAGGCGCCGTCTCCTGCTGCGTCTCCTTGGCCGCTTTCTTTGCCTCCCGCTTCTGCCTCCTTTTCTCCTCACCTGGACCATGTGCAAACCCTGGACTCAAGTCTGGCCAGAGCCTGCAATCATCTTGACCCTAAGCCCTATAAATCCTAAAGCTCGAAGGTGGCTGTGGCGAGGGTAAATTGAGGTCTTACACAACTGCACTTCTTGAAGAGCTTAGTCAATCTTACAACTGCAATCCAGCTTCCAACCCCGGACTTCACCGTTTTGCGAGGGTCCAGAACCACAGGGAGTAGATGCCCAGGACTTTTTTGACAGTCTAGGCAACAAAAACGACAAAGACAGGCAGACGTTGACAAAAGACAATAACAGACAAATCCGGACACATAGAGACAAATCCAGAAGAATAAACACAAAAACAAGCAAATAACAATTGGGCTGACCAGATCGCCGAGAACGCGCGGCCACGACGACGACGCCAACGACGACGAGTACTGCATGCTCATTCATGGGCGAAATGGTCTTTCCGCTTTGGTAGGGTAGCCCAAAGCCTAAACCAACAAAAACGAAAACAACAAAAACAAAACCGACATAAAGCAACATATATATATATATGTATGTATGTATGTATGTATGTATGTATGTATGTACATATTATATATATAAAATATAATATGATATGATGATATAATATAAAATAATATAATATAGTATAATATTATATAATATTATATATATATATGTTGAAGTCTTGCTGAACCACTACTCCGCAACTTTTTACTGACATTGTTGCTTTTGCTTTTTCTTGGCTTTGGCGTTTTTGTGATTTTGGTTTCGCTTTTTTGGTACTGCTTTGTTTGTTGCAGTCGTTTCATTACATAGGAGTCTGGTGGTTAATTTGTAAGTTAAAAGGAAACGGGGACAGTGCGGGTAAGTTTCTTAAATTTGGCAAAACACCTATTATCCATACGATGACCAGCCACTATCTAGCACGCAAAAGTTATGTGAAAGATAGTTATTCAGCTTTGTTAACCTTTAACATTGACTGGATATTATTGAAAGAACGTGTATTGAATCATTTCAACAATTTAATTACTTCCTTTTACCCAATCAACAACATGACAAATACAATGATAGTTCTTAGTAGCTACTTTCCAATCCAATCCATTAGCTATCGACAAGTATGCCATTCACTAAGGGAATAACAATAGAATCCGGTTACAGCTATTAAGTCAAATAATATTTGCAACAGACTTGTTGTTACCCAGCTTTTCTAAGTTTTGATATTAACCAGCTGCATATTGAAAGACCACCTATTGAACGAAATCATGAGTTTAGTAAGACGTGATTGTTTGTCCAACCAACAATATAGCAAGTACAATGGTAATTCTTAGTAGCTGCTTTCCAACTCAACCTGCTGCTAGCTATTAACGTACCTTTCGCTAAGGGAATGATAGAATGCGGTTACAGTATTCGTGAAATACGAAATCATAGTATGTCAACTACGTGATCCAAGTATAATACAAGCAGTCACGCTTGAATATCCTTCGGTAAATCGAAAACATCATTGTCTTGGACACCCCTCTCGCAAGTAGGTTGTGTTCCATGCAAAAGAGACTGTACAACTAGTCGTTTCATTATGCTCAAGAGGCACAGTGCTAGCATGGAGGACATAGAAACAATTGCTTGAAGCCGAAACACAGCGGTCAGGTTCAGGCTTTGAACCTGAACAGCAGGAAGCCAGCACCGGAATTTGAATCAATCACAACAAAAACAAAAACGCAAAACATATACACTCAAAAAAACAAAGAATGGCAAATTTCGCCAAGTACGTGACAAAACGGGGTTTTAGACCTAGGGCCTCAGATTAAAAAGCCTTGATAATCTAAACCCTGTCTCTGGAGCCTCGCGAGAGGTTAAGGACCAAAACAAAAAAATAATACAGGCACCTATACAACTGGACGAGGGCCTTCTGGGATGCTAGTTTAGGATAGGATGTGGGCTTAGGGCTTAGGGTATAGTTGACACAATGTGAAAATGCAACTACCTTTTTGCAGGACTGCTCTTCTAAGGGGGCCATGACTTTTTATTCTAGACTACGGCCCTTAATAATCATTTAGCATAGGGTTTTGGGTTTTACTATACTATATAACTATAATTACAATAGGGAGCCCATAAGATAGTGTTGGTAATTATTGAGGCCCCTATATTAACTATTCCCACCCTAATTGTCTGGTGCTTGGGAGCCCCAGTAGATCCTGTATTTCTCTGGGTGCCTTTCTGCTCGTTCATCCGATCCAACTCCGCAAACCAGGACTGGTCAATTCCGTCGTGAAATACCGGCCGATGGAAGCCTTGGAATTTCCCTTAAGTCAAGGGGTACCCTGTTCAGGGTTTAGGGGTGTAAGTGCTCTCAGAAAAGTCCCCGCAACGGTTCCCCAGTAACCTCGTTGTTGCACCGCTTTAATCAAGAAGGCGCGCAACAAACAAGGCAAAAACGGATACTGTATAGAGGGACAGAGGAGCCATATTTGGAGGCTTGATGATTGCAAGGCTTCCCACGTGCCTTCAAAACCATGGCGCCTTCCTCCTCTACAGCTGTGGCCACCTCGCTTTGGATGAACATCTCTGTCCACAGCTCGGCAATGCGCATTTGGGAAACCTGGTCAAAGATTACACCAAGCATGCTGTCGCTGCGGGACTAGTCAAGTCTTGGACTCTTTATCGGCACCTGTGTGTGAGTGTGTGCGAGTGCATGTGAGTTTGTTTTTTTATGCTCCGTTGTCTTGCTGGCTGCTCATACATCATACTCCAGCTATGGTATGGTGCGTAGTTGGCGTTCTCTCTTATCGTGAACAGCAACTATGTGAGGAATGTATTCATCACACACTTCGGATGCGGCCACGTCCTGAAGCTCGATTCGTTGCAAAGGCCACCACATTCGTCCCAATTTGGCCCAGGATAGGCCACTACATCTTGGAAGCCCTTCGGCCGCATGCCGCTATCCTAAACATGCTTGTAATTTGCATGACAAGGGCTTGAAGCATTGCAACAAGGTACTTGTGCAACGTTGAAGTCCGCCAGCCGCCAGCACATGTGGGATCGATTGCGGGATGATGCCGTTAAAACACTGCCGCTAAATCGGAAACGTTCGGCGATGGCGGTGCATCCAGTGAATTCCTGAAGCCGGCCCCCGGTTCTGAAACCGGCCCCCTCACTAAGTTGATGAATGTAAAAAGTAATCGCACGAGCTATGATAGCAATAGTCAAGCAATGGCAGTTGTTCCCAATCTCTAAACTCTAAACCCGGCCCCGGCCTCCACTAGGCGATTGCGGTTGATCCCACTTCTCAATCCCATCTCCTCAAAAGGCGGTTGATCCCATTCCTTCACAATGCCCCCCCTGATCTTATCCTCGTCGTTTAGACCCGGCCACTCATTAGGCGATAGCCGATAGATCCCATTATATCATTTCACCCGCCCCCTCACAGGCGATGCCGGTTGATGAGGTTTCTTCAGCCCGCAGCCTCATTTGGCGATGGCGGCCAATACTATATAGGGTTTCGACTCACACACTCGCACAAGGCTGGCATGGCTGATTATATATAGGGTTTAGGGCCCCCCCCCCGCCCCAGGACTTGATCCCATTTCTTGAAGCCGCCCCCTCATAAGGCGATGGCGGTTAATTATGGACGATCCCGTTCGTTCAAGCCGCCCCCTGATCAAAGGATGGCGGTTGAGCCCAATCTGCTCCCTCATGAGGCGATGGCGGTTGTTCCTTTTTTCTTAAACCCGCCGCCTCATCTCATTTCTTCAACCCGCGGCTTGCTTGCTTGCTTGCTTGCTTGCTGGCTTTCAATCCAGAAACGGGCAAACAAGCTAATTATTCATAGATAATACCATTCGAAACCAGAATCGGGCAAAACAGCACGAACCAGCACCTATTAACAAGAAGACAATGATAGTACCACCACCCGTGTTAACATCACCATCCGCGCCATCAACCTTGCAGTCGCGATCCTGGAATCGGCCCTCTTGTTTGAACTTCTTCCTCGAACAGAGGTTCCATGACGTGCTTGCTTCTGCATAGTTAGTTGCTTATCGCCACATTGCAGTCATACGGGCTGGCAGCTGTTTCGGCGGTGTGCGCCTTCCCTGGCGAATATCATCCACACCATCATGTCATGCTGTTTTACAACATCAGCCAGCAGCAGCAGCAGCAGTACAGGGGGAGCTTACATCCTCTGAATGAGAAGGTCCATCATTAAGGGTGGCGCGACAATCACATCATCATCATCATCATCATGAGCCTCCACACTCCACATAGTCTTCTTCGCCGTCGCCACCACCATCATCATGTGTCAAGCCCCGAGCATCATCGGTCGAAATGGTGGATGCCGTTGCTACAGTCACCATCACCACCAAAGACCATGTTCTTCGTCGTCCTCGATGTTGACATCGTCGTCATCCTTGGCGCCGTCGTCCTCGTCATCGTCGTCACCATCATCAGCAGCAGCACAATTATCATCGCAGGTTTTGACCCTCTCCACCATCTTGGACACAGAGCTTGAAAAGCACAACTAGGGCCTGACTAGGGTGAAGGGTGTATCGGCTTGGGGATGTGATGTTTGGCAACTCGCGGCCTTGATCGTGAAGTGACAGGGCGGCTTAGGCAGCTTCTCGTCCATCTGGCCAGACAAGATCTCCACAACATCCCCTATTCGAATGTCCCTGTGGGACGTCACATATCCGAGTGCACCTTTGGATGAAGGCTCTGATGCATCACACGTCTCTATATCGTCGCTGAACCGGATAACAAACTCCACCAGAAAGGAGCGCTTTGAGTCAGGGTCGACCATCAAGGTATCGTAGAAGTTGAGATGCCCGAAGCTGCGACGATGATAAACACGGGCCCGCGGGGTCCACGAGCTCACAGATCCGCCCAAAACTGCATCCATCTTGGCACGAAAAGCATCCAAGCCATCATCCGAGCAGCCATGGCTCATGCTTCGATTTTTTTGTGCCCGAAATCCCCGAGAGCTCGGGATGATCAAGACTGCTGCTGTCTTAGTCGGACTGAGTCTCCAATTGGTTGAAACTTCTACCGTCTCATCTTGCAGGCAACTGCAGACTTCATCGCTTTAGGGTTTGGGTTCGGTTTAGGGATTAGGGTCTAGGGACTCAGAGAACCAAACTTGGCATGAAATTCGGCCTTGCCTTGACGTGGCCAGCTGCACGAACTGTGCTAGGAAGTAGTGGGGACTTACTCTAGCAGTGTAGTGCTCACGTTGCGATCACTGTCTTTTTGAATTTTCTCCTGTTGAAACCCATACAGTCGACCGTGTCCAAACCCCGGCGACCTGATGCGGGAGCAGCTGCAGACATTATCTTTTGCTCACCACTTCTTTACTCCTGTCAATGTTTTTGGGTTTAGTGTTTCGGGTTTTGGGTTTCGGGTTTAGGGCCAATTTGAGAGTCTAGGCTGCATTTTGGAGAAAGGCCTTTGGGGAAAGTTAGGAACTTGCCTTTCCGCTACTCCGGACCAAAAGGCTGTAGCAAAGGGGCCCGTGAAGCAGCCAAGTGGCTGCACGATAGAGCGCCACCAAGACCATAAGCCAAGCCTTTCCCAACTTCTGAACATCACAAGCTGCAATGACAAAGGCGCCTTGCTGCTTCTTATTATCGGCTTCGTTGATCCAGAGGAGGCTCTACACCCTAAGCCTGCACGGAAAGACCGCGACGACTCAGGGCTGGGAATCGGCAACTATACTGACTAGAGCTGACACGGCTTGGGTTCCTCGCAGTTTTCGACCTTCTGCCATTGCTTGGGTGCCGCATGTCAAGACGATCCCGAGAGCCGAGGGCGCAAAGTAGTTGCATCATGAGAACTTGCGGCATCGAAGGGCTTAGCTGATGACAAGGCTTGTAGAAGCCACCAATGCACAACGCACAGAAAAGGCAAACTTCCCAATCTACACGACCCCGTGCAAGTACGACTGCACACGAAATTACGTACAGCGCGAGTTGCATTGCCCTCCTTGCTTCAGGACATGCCAATGCAATTCCTACTCAATCTGTATCTCAGGAGATGTTCACTCGCTATCTCAGGTAGAACACTGGGTACACTCGACGGTGCATCAACAAGTTGACAGCCGGAAGCGAGAGTCAGCAAACTCTGCTCGAATCCAAAATCTAGACGTCATGGGGCACCCAGCATTGTTGACAGGATGAAACATACTGGTCAGAAGAGCAACGGCATGCAACAGCAATGGTGCTATGGATGGTCAGAACGATACCGCGACGGCTGCTCGCACCTACGCCAATCGAGACACTCACAAAAGTGACATACATGTGAAAGAACGGGCAGGACAACAGTAATAACAATAACAGCACATAGTTGTGATGACAATCATGTAAGGACCATATCGTGACAAACGTGCTGAGAGAACGAGGACGACAACAGCAATAGCAACGATAACGCATACTTGTGATGACAATCAAAATCAGGACAATATCGCGACTAACGTTGTGATGCCCGCAATGCTGGGAAACTCCGATTTCAAGGAATATTTATTTTTTATGATTTCGATATGGTCCTGACATGATCTCAGGAATCCTTCGGGTTATGATTTTCTTATGATTTCCTTATGGTTTACGATTGTGTTACGATGTGGATGCGGTTTGGATACGAGTTGGATACAATTTCGATACGATTTTGGTACGAAATTTTATCCGAATTTGATACGATTTCGATTCGTCTCCAGCCTCCTCCAGGACTGGTTTTGATGTGGTTGCTATGTTTTGATATGGTTTTCGGACTTGCAGCGGAGCTGCTTTCCGAGCGGCGCTTTCCCGCGTAGCCGTATTGAAATCGCAACCAGAACCGTATCAAAATCGTCAACGGGGACAAACCCTGAACCAAAAGAAAACCATAAGATAGTCATAAAAATCATTCCCTGCGCCTACCCTGACTTTCCCAAGGAAGGGCTTCACAAGACTAACGTGCTGAGAGAACGAGTTCGACAACAGTAATAGCAACGATGACAAAAATTGCGATGACGATCACATCAGGAAGAGTATCGTAACTACCGTACTGAGCATACTCAACAGTTGGCAGCAGCACAGATGCACAGAGGAATTAAACAGCAAGAGTAGTGCCAGTGCACAACCAAACCAGCACGTGACAGGAACAGTAGCAGAAAAAAAATACATGTCAATCCAGGGCCCGGGGCCCAGCGAAGGAACCAGCCGGACTGTGCACCAGGGAACTTGGCCTTGTTGCGACTTCGGCCAGCATGCCAGTGAGTTATCCCTGCGGGGTTAGGGTCTCTCAGGCTGAGAAGGCCAAGGGTCTGTCAGGGTAGCCATGACCCTTACGTAGGGGGCTGCCAGAGCTGCTTCTAAACTAGACCCTGCTCTGAATCTCGAGCTCTAAATCATCCTGCGATGTCGGTTTGGACCAACGCGGCCTGACCATGCTCGAAAATTGGGACACAGCCCGGAGAAAGGTTTATCACGCGACAGAACCGCATCACAAATCAAAAGCTTGGACATGAGATTGAAATATCCCACTCCAAAACGACATTAAGTTGAGCTGACATGTTGCAGGCAAGGCAGCGGCAAGAGCACGAAGCTCTTCAGAACGATACGACATGTGATGTTTTATCCGTTGGAACCCTGTATGTGAGCTTGTAGGTAATCCTACTGAAATCCAGTGTCTGATGTTTTTATCCCCATATAATCCCGGTCTGATGATTTTTCCATCTGAAACGCCGTGCCTGATGTTTTATCCCACTGAAATGCATGATTCGACATGGCCTATTCCAGGCTCGTGTCACAGACTTGGGCGAAAGCTGTCTACGGCTGTTACACATGCTGAAACGTGTTCACTTAATCTGCTCGCCCTCGCCGGATCTGTGGTGGTGCAGCTACAATATGCTACAATCTCACACTGGAGAGGTCTCAGTCTCAAGGACTCTGCAAACAAGTTGCCAGCAGCCTGTGCCACAGCCAATCGCGCACTTCCTGCTTCGCTGTGTTGTTTAGTTGGCGACGGGCTAGCGAGGCACATAAAAACGGCAGTACACGGATCGTAAATCTGCGTGCAAGTTGTGAAGTTGGTAAGTATCGTCTACAATGAGAGGTGTAAGCGACATCCTCAAGCAAATTCCAAACCCTGCAGACCAAATCCCCCCTGTGTTCTACATGTCTACAACGACGACGATTACTGCTGCTAGCACTGCTCCCGCTGGTGGTGGTGGTGGTGGTGGTGCTGCTGCTGCTACCACAAAGGCAACTAGCACCCCAACTGCCACCACCGCGGCCACTTCCTCTTCGCCCTCTTCCGCTTGCTTACGATTTGCTACTAGAAGGAAACAGAGACATGATATGTAGTCAAGCCTAATGCTCGAGCGCGGGGTCTTCTGCAAGCCACGGAGAACTGCAGACGAGAAGCTGCAAATGTTTGCACCGCAAGCGTGAAGGACAAGGAGAGAGAGGTAGCCGTGGACAGGCCGATCCAAATCCTAACGCGGATACCGAGTCTCACAGACGCCCATGCGGTGCTGACAAGCGCGCATGAACCCAAATATCTACGACGGGCCCTACTGCCCTGCCCTACTGACTGCATAGCTCGGGCGGCGGTAATTGGGGGCTGAGAGGTTCACATTCAGTCGAAAAATCCAAACTGTGGTACTTAAGGAACACAAAACACTGCGAGTCATTTTGCAGTATTTTGCAGAATAGTAGAGTATACAGTATACGATAAACATACTATTTGTTGAAGCTGTTCATGGCAGGATAGGAGCATTGCCATCAAGTCTCTCGTTTAGAGGTGGAAGCCTACAGCACGGCCGGCTGTCTCTATGGAGCACTGCCGCGATCTCCCGAATCTATGCTTGATCTGTAACGTCTTTCCTAACAGTGGACAAAGACCAGATGTTGCAGAACTTCAACACAGCTCACCTACCACAGCTAGCCGTCTCTCCACAGTAAGACTCGATCTTCACCGGTGCGCGCCGAAGTCTCTGCAAAAAATAATGCGTAAGTAGTAATGGCGTGTTCGGAATTCTTGGGAAATGTTCTCCCCTGAGCGAAGAGCTTGGACTGGGTCTAGGACAAAGCATGCTGCGCATGCGGCCAGAGGTCTTGTCAGCGAGAGAAGCACTCTCGAAGTAGACAAGGAAGATGCCTCCGACAGATTTCCAAACTCCATGGCAAACCACATCAAAGCTCGCTGTCTTCCATGAGCAATGGGTGAAGCAGCGTGGACCCTCCAACCCTAAAAGTCCTTAAACCTACCTTCGAACCAGCCTAGGCCTCGTCTTCAGGAAGTACCTATAGGCTCCATTGTAGTTCCTTTTTGTGCTTAACCAAATTTATATTATCGGATCCTAACCATATATTTGGTTAACCAAAAAAAGGAACTACAATGGAGACTATCGGTACAAACCACCATTCCTGAGTCCCGGTCCGAATGCCCGAACCAGACAAGACAAGGCACCCAAGCAACTGAGAGGAATGTGGCAGGAGTCACCAGATAAGAGACCCCTATAAGTAGCTACTTTTCATGGGTTTATAATTTTTAGAACCCTATAAGGTCATCCCAAAAAGGAACTACTTAGGGGCCTATGGGTAGATAAGGGACCCCTAGAACAGCCGGAAGGCTATAGGATCCTCGGAGCCCGGGTTTGGGCTCCCGAGGATCCGAAAAAGCCGCCAGAGGTAAGTATAGGTTCGCCCCCCCTACATGTAGGGTTAAGGGTTTAGGGCCGTTTTTTCCCCTTCTACTTAGGGCTTATGGGGTTTAGGATTTAGGGTTTAGGGCCCTACATGGCTCACCCCCTACGCACTGCGCAGCTTGAAACAAGAATAAGCACTTGTTTTCTCCTGTTCCGTGCCAGCAGCCGCTCATTGAGCACTTTCGAAGTGGACTGCTGAACAGCTGTGGCCAGCGGCC